GATTTCTCCAATTCTCAAAAACCCTCAAGAATTCAGAGATTCTGTTTTCAATGACAGAACCTCTGGAAGATGAGTGCAGTGCCATCAAAGGAGCAGGAAAAAAAAAAGAAAAAACAGATATGGATCACATTCCATATACCAGAAATGCTACACAAAAAAGGAAAATACTGCTCCAAGAGATATGCTCTAACTGAAAAAGGGGGACAAAACAAATGGGATACATCAAACAGCATGATCATATGCCTTGTTTCATTAGTAACTAGGCAGTGAATTATTTTTATTGCCCACAGAAGCATCTGATCAAAATGAGTATCCTTGCAACACCTTTTGAAGCAATTGGTCAGGCAGAGGAAAAAGACCTAATTTTCTCTCATAATGAAGGGAAAGTAGGAAAATTCACCTCTTTATATTAGATTTGGCAGCAAGTCAATCAGTACAGACACAGCAGTGTCTGTTGTTACAGAGCAGAATGAGATTAAGGATTGGAGAAGAGGGGATAAGGAGATAAAAAGACAATCCAAATACATACAAATGTAATTTTATTATTTCTGTAGCTCACAGAAACTATGGCTTGTGGACATTAACTTGTTTTAACAGCTTTATAAACCGAGAATCACTTGGTGAAGCATTTACACTTGTTGACCTCATCCTGTTCAGTAGGTTGCCTAGGAACATCTTACCTCTGAATGAATGGGAAAATAGATCAGGAGCTCCCGTACGCACCATTTCAAATATTTTTTTGAATCTATTTTATGAAATCCATGCAAATGATTTTCCATTATGCTTTTCTACAGCATTAAAAGATACTCAATGAAGAACAAAGTAGACATGTAATAATGATAATATATTCTGAAAAGGCTTTCATAGATAAATACAAACCTGGAAACAACATGCAGAAGTGTTGGTGGGATGACTCAGCTCCTAATGATATTTCATTTAAGTTCATTTTCTTAGCAGCAGCCTGATGTTTATTAATAACTCCCAGTATGCTGCTTAGAGCTGTAGATTCATTTTCCTGTTAATGGTAGCAAAAGGTTCTTTGTTAATGGTTTTATGATAATGCTGGGGTTTGCCATATGGTTGGATTTGTATGAGGGTTTCTCATGAAAAGCCAGAGAGTGTAAGAAATTGTTGCTATATTTAACTGCAGTGTCTTCACACGCACAACAGGCAACTGGAATGGACACTGTTCTAATATTTACAAGTGCAAAACAATGCTCACTATTTACTGCATGTTCTGTTTAAGAGGACTACAGGGAGTTTAAACAAGAGAACATATGGATAGATCAGAGGATTCGTAATGCAATAGTGAGCTTTTCACCTTTAGGTCATTGGTTCAAATCTAAACTGGTTAGTAATGAAGGTAAGCTATTATCATCTGACAACTCTGGCCTTTACAAATTGATTTGTCAGGCTCAGTCCAGTTCCCATCAAACTCAAAATTCAACATTACAATTTGGATTTCTGAAAACAACTTCACCCCAGGAACGTAACAAAAAACTGAACAAGCAGAAATAACCTTTTCCTCCTCAGGCACCATCTCCAGACCAGGGTCTCGGGAGAGTGCCAGAGGAACAGTGAGAGTTACACCACTAGTAGCACAACACATCATTCTGTGGATAAAAGTTACTTCTGACTCTCAGATACCCAGCTGTAATTTCCTCTGTACCAGTACAAAGCTTTCAGGAGTTATATTAATAAAGAAAGAAGACAAGAAAGAAGAGATACCAATATGAAGGTTTTAAAGCTCAAATTTCACAGTGCTGCTTAAAGATCTCTTTGGCTCTCTTGTTGAAAGATGCTTTTCTTAAGGCTGAACGTTTTGAAGCAAATAGCCACAGTACTCTATAAAAGAAATATCAAATTTAATTTCTGTTTCCAAAATTTCCATTTGTAGCCAAAATGTTTAAACGAGATTTGTAGCAGCAAGAATTGTATTTCCTGCAGATAGGTTTAATTCAGAAACAGATTTATTTATAAATTATTATGGATGATCCTAGAGAAATCACATTTTTACAGTATTTCTTCAAAATTATTAGACAGAAAAGGCACAGATTGAGCCATAACAGTATGTAATTTTCCACATGCCTTCATAATTTGAACATAAAGCCTCAAAACCATGTCTAGCCCTTTCCCTTGCTTCTTAATAGTTTGGGAGCAGTCACATGAAGTACTCAACAGGTACCACCGTTCTCCATTTTACCAAGCAATAACTGCTACAGGAGTGAATAGACACACCAGGTTTTAACAGAGAGCAGCATAGCCAAGTCATCCTCTGGGCTGGCCAAACACAGACCCATCTCCCATAGACAGCAGCTGGTGAGATGCACCCAAACCCAACTTCCCTAGGTCACAGAACAGGAAACCCCATGCAACAAGCCCAGTAAACTGGACAGTAAACTTGCATGTCAAGAGACGCAACAAGAGACCAACTACATTGTGTCACTTGTCTTAGAAAGTGTCTAGACTACACCAGGAGATGGTTCCTCTGAGCAGTCTCACACAGAGTGCAAGCCAAGGGAAAGGGGCTGCCTACAGATGAAGACAGAATTTTAAGGATTGGGGATTGCCTACTGCTTGACTTGCAGTTGACAGGACCAGCAGAGAGACCCGTGCAAGTCAATCCAAATTCTTTGACAGTAATAAGATTTCTTGCTGCTCCCCTCTGCCATGAAGCACTGCATATCTGTGCTAGGGAATGACCTGCAGTGACAGAAATATAGGATAACTTTAGAACTGTGACTGCAGCCACTATTGACAAAAAATAAATTAAAAAGCAAAGTTTAGACAAAGAAAAGAAGCAAAATATTTCAGAGAACAAATTAAACTGTTTGATTAAATGTGAGTGGAACATATGTTAGAAAACCAAAGGATGTGCAAGGTACTCAGATTTCAAAAGGCTGCAGGAGAAAATATGATAGACTAATAAGTTCTACAGGCATGTTTATTATAAGACACTTACTGGCTCTGAAGTTAGGTAAGCAGATTTAAAAAAACCAAACAATAGCTGTGATTTTTTATTGTGCTTTCATCCTCTTATCTCAGTTTCCTTTTCATATCATCTGCATTTTGCACAGTTCCACCAAAAACTGTTCTGGCCAGCTACGACTGTTCTTTATATGGGTATGTTTATAGAGCACTCCAACACTGAGCCTCTCAAGGTAACAAACTTTTTGAAACTCCACAAACTGGGAAATAAACACACTTTCTCGTCTATGTACTCTCCATGAAAACTCGCCTAAGAAGGCTTAATGCCTAATAACATCTCTGAGACTGGATAGAGAAGGATTTAAATTCCCATTATCCTTTTTAACGAACTTGTGACTACATTCTCAAAATAGACTGTTAACCCAGAAATGAAAGAACTGACATATTTTTTACCTGCAGTGCCTGAAAGAAATTAAATGTTTTTACACCTATTACTAGCATAAAACCCCCTCCAATCTCTAAATTCTCTGGGATAACTGTAAGTAAGTTTGTCTGCATTGGACAAATCAAGCACACCCTTACTCCTCATCCCACCTAAAGAACATTGTGACATCACTCAGGTGACAGGGAAACAAACAGGCAAAAAAATAAAGCTCCTATTTAATTAAGTCTGATTGATATGCAGCATGCTTGATTAGATATAGTCTTGATTAGGCGGTGCAACAGAACTTAAAGAGTATCCTATCTAATTAAATTGTCATTATTTCTACCACTTCCTATATGAGAACATATTTCAGCAGGCTGATTTAAGTATTTGTTAGCCCATAATACTTTTTTGGTAATTATTTTTAAAAGCTGTCATATTCAAGTTATGTGTTGCCTCACCAGTTCACAGCACAGCAGTACTTTCCCTCTGGAAACAAACATAAGACTATTTATGTAGCTATTGTTTTCCAAAATTGCTATTCAATGTCAAGTATGTTGGAGGACAATACCTTTCAGTCGTAGATATTTTTTTTCAAGTCTGAAGAGTGGTACTAGCTTAGAGGGTACATTCGTCTTTCTTTCAAACTGCATGAGAAACACACAACTACTTTCCCTCCCTTTTCACATGCATATTTTTTCCATGATTAAAACACTCAGAATTTGTTCTGAAATCTGAAAAGCTCTTCAAATTCTTTTCACGCACACAATCAGCCACTACAATAAACACAAGTTCACGTAGCTGGAAGACCAGAAAGCCATTATGCTTCCAACTTTTCCAAAGGAGAAGGTGTATATTGTCATGCTTTCTATTTATGGCTGTAATCCTCACGACTGTCCACTCACAATCCTTCTACTGAACGAATGGTTTCAAGCGAAATCAGATCCTGGAAAAGCAAACAGCCTCTGCTTTCTTTTAAGGGAGAGAAAAGAAAAAAAAAAAGCACATGCTTTTGCCTACCTTAGACCGACACAGTGAGTAAAATACTGAGCAGCTGCTTCTAACCGACAGCTCCTATGCAAGTTTAACTTTTGACGGCACCTGATCACGCCTGAATTATTAACCAAGATAATGCAAAGCCCCTGATATTAATTTCAAAAATCCCTGCTGATAAAAGACCTCCTTAGCCTCCAGTACTCTCTTTCTCTCATACCTGCCACTCCTTTCCTCTTCTCAAGCTGACCAGCCGCGACCGTGCAGGGCAGGGGGTCCCCTGGGTCGCGGTCTCCCCAGGGTCGGGCCCGGCCCGGCCGAGCCCCGCACGGACCCCGCCGCGGCCCGGTCGCCGCACGGGGGCTGCGCCGCTGCACAGGGCAGGGGTCGCCACCGGCGGGGCTCCGGGCACAGGGAACACGCGGCCGGAGAACGGCCGGATCTGGCTGTGGTTTCTCCCGAGGGGGCGGCGCGGGAGGAGAGGAATGCCGAGCGTTCCCGGGAGCGGTTTAATCCCTACCTGTCCCCGCGCGCGGTCCCGCCGGGCGCGCTCATCCCCCGCTGCCATAGCTACGGGCAGCCGCGCCGCGCGCCTCTCGCGAGAGCCGCCATCTTCCCGCGAGAGGCGCGGGCCGCGCCCGCGGGCGCCTCCTCTGGCGAAGGGGCTGAGGAAGCCCCGGGCAGCGCCGGGAGGGGGCGCAGGAGCTGCCGCGGGCAAATGGCGGTGCTGGCCCGAAAATAAGATGGGTGTCCTTGCCCGTGTCATTGCTAACAACTGCACGGCGTGGGCAGTGATAGCTGAGAGATGCGGCTGGAGCCAGAGGAAACACTCAGACCCGTTCATGTCTAGCAGAAGTTTGTTTGTAGTTGATGTGAGCTGGGTTTGCTCACAGGTTAGAGCCCAAACGTGTGTTCAGCACCACGCGTACTTAAGGTGAGAATTAGACCATCTCATGGTCTGGGAAAATTGGAGTAAGGTCTTCTAGAAATTTGTATTTTGATTTTCTGAATCCTAGGTAACATGTAAAATCAATATTAAACTCGCATTCCCAGAACTGCGTCAGCTGCAGCATTGCAGTCTGTCACCAGTGCGAACTGCTGGTAATACTAACTCTGGTGTAATAGTATTCTTGGTGGTATCCAAGAAACACATTTCAAGCCCATTGAAATAAATGGGTCCTTTCTTATGAATTCAGGATCGTGCATAGACAGAGTGTCTGAAGATGACTGCAGGGACCACTATTTCCATGAGGAGTTGGTATCTCAGTGCTACCTGGGTAAAAATATTAATTATTACTCAGACTGAAACATGAAGGCATGAGAGCTAATACATTTTCCTTTCTGCCCTTGTATTTTCAGTGTTCCCAACATTTAAGAGAGACAGCTTTTGTAAAAATCCTTAGAGAAGTGCCACCACCTCGGTAAGTGTGCAGGAAGTTCTTTTTATTGAGTCCATTTTTACACAAGAGAAGTGAGTGAGTTGATGCATAACATTCTGTATATAAAAGATGTATTCTGCATGCCAGAATTACCAGCTTCTGATAATTCAGGTATCCTGCCAGTGGTGTACCAGATGCATAGAGTATGCCTGGGGGTCTGGGACTGTCCTTTGTGCTGCCTTTGAGCTGTCCTTTGAGCAAACACTCAAAGCATTCTCTTTTGTATATACCCGTGTCTGCAATACTGTTCGTGCTGCTGCTGTTAATACGGCACTTCTGACACCACTAAAATAATACAAATAAAAGTGTATGCATTTGGAAGAATACTTGTTTACTTGTTGTGATTTCCCATCCCATTTCAGTCTTTTGATTCGGGAATCAAGCCAACCATACTGGAAGAGAGAGCAAATGAGAAAGGCCTCAAGCCTCTCTTAGGGACCAAAGATAATTAAGAGAAACATTTAGAGATAGTATATATAATGAAGCCCTGAATACATGCTAGCTTCAGGCCCGTGACAGTATGGCTGTTTTTATAATAGAATATGGAAGTAATTACAGATCTGAGCTGGGCACTGTGGAGTTTGACTGAAGCACTCTTCAGTGTAATTGAATTTGTATAGCATCTGTGAGCAGGGGAGGTCCTGTGCCACAAGGCCCATAGGGTGTCCTTAGGCTGGCCAGCAGAAAGTTTCTCGTTTGTTTGTCCCTCCTTCCAGGGGTGACTTTGTTTTTCCCGCAGTGAACGATGTATAATGAGGTTGTTGCTTAAAGCAGGAACTTCTCCCAGTCAGAATGGGAAGTCTGCAGAGTCCTTATTTACCCTTTTGTGTAGAGGGATGTTTCAGAGCACAAATGCAGCATTGCTTAGTGGCTGGCCTTTTCCACTGCGTTTTGTGTCCTCCTTGTATGTTTTTTTTCCTCCCTAGCTACAAATGCAGGGACTTGGAATAAAACAGCGGTGCTGCCCTTGGCTCATGTCTGAGCCTGGGAGGAGTTGAGACCCTTGTCAGCCTTCTGTTGTAAGGTTGTATCATCCCTGTTTGAATTTCCAGAAAATAATTGTTCCCGGTAAGCCTTGTTACAATAACCACGAAGAATAACTATTTTGCTTTGGCATCTCAAGAAGAACTTATAACCATAAATTAATCTCACCTTGTACATTTATTTGTTCATGGTGGATTTTTTGAAAGGCAAATGTTTATTATCACTCTGGCTAGAGCTATAGCTATAACTTCTAATTTTTTTTAGAGGGTAGTGGTCCTTGTCTGCAAATTTATTTCCCTGAAAATATGTCAGATAAAATTTTCCTTAAATGAAAAACAGACTTTTAAAATTAAAATGCTTTGCACAAAACATTTTGTGTTTCTTTTGTTGTTAATCAAAAGATCAAAACAAACAGAGGAGCCTGCAGGTTTTCTTAAAAAATATTTGGAAAATATGCATTAAAAGTTTTGATATAAATAATATTTCTAAAAGGTGTAATTGAAAATCAAAGAAAGAGTTTCTATTTGAGAATTAGTTTATTAAGCCTACTGAAGTTTAGGTTACATTTTAAGAGCACTACTTCAGAGTGGTTTATGTGGTTCTCTTCCCTTTACTGCATGTGTTAGTTAACACAATATATATCTGATAAAGTACTTGCACTCATTAATGCTTCCTGCAAGCTGTACTGCAAGCAGAGGATGATCATCAGAGAGAAGATGACACTTACGGTGTGTTAAATACATGGAGAGCAAGAGGTACAGCATAAAAGCACTGCTAATTAATTACATTAACTGAAGAGACTTTTACTAGTAGATATATGATTATAATTAATAAAATTAATAGTGTTTCAAATCCCACATACTCATCAGTTCACAGAAGTTGTAGGGTTCCACAAAACGTGTGCAATCTGGCTTCTGTGTCTGCCTGCAAATTCTTCTCAGTTATCTTTAGCCCTGTTCAGGCACATCTCCAAGCTAGGAAAGGCAATTTGTCTAAACTAGTTAGTAACCTGCAGTTTGCTCATAGATGAGATTGCATATAAATGTATTAATATGCTGTGAGCCAGCAGGATGGCTTGCAAACTTTTCTAATATTCAATCAGGAGAGGCTAATGTATGTGCTGCTGATGGGCAGCAGTAGACTCTGTAAGTTGCCAGAGCAGTGTTAACAGCAGCTTGTTGTGCCAAAGGGCAGTCCTTTGAAAGTGGGATGTCTTCCAGATGATCATATCTGTGGCAGTCTTCTGTGGAAGAGAACATATATTCTGCAGAGCAGCTAGTTAGGAAAAAACCCTCAGTGCAGTGAATATTCAAGCCTTGTGCCACAAGTCTGCACTTCCCATGGAGGGATGGCCAAGTGCAGGCCTCTGCTCCATAACAGAGAGATCATGTTCAAGCTCTTGGCTGTCTGGTGCCTGCCATCCTGTGTAAAAGAAATTAATGCATTTTATGTATTCACAGTATGATTTTATAAAAAAGTCAGAAAGACAAAGCCCATATTCTCCTAAGAGCCTGAAACTATTCCAGATTTTATTTCTGAGAGACTAGGTCTGATAACAAAGCCATCTCTTCTAAATGATCTATCAATAACAACATAAAATGTAATTCCCAGATGTTATTTGTATGAATTATTCCATCATCATCACTAATGGCAAGTTGGTCACATGAGAGAGGCAATTATGAGATGCAACCCCTTTGATTAGGGAATATATTGCAGTTAAATGGAAGATTTTCTGCACAACACAGAGAAGCATACTAACTGTGCTACTACCTGCTGAATATTTATGCCATCAGCTATAACTTCAGGCTAGTTTTAAAAACATACAAGTCCATATTTATGGATAGTATTGCTGAGATTTTGTTAAGCACCTTTCTTTTACTTTAAAACATGGGCACTATTTTTTACTTCATTTTCAGCTGGCTTGGATTCTTTATCATACAAGTCATCTTCATGAGAGACACATTTCAAAGCTTGGAAACTGTAAAATTATCTTCCTCAAAATGACACTGTAAATAACTAAAAATGTGAGAAATTTTTGTTCTGAATGAAAGATCTGAATGCCGCAAAATCCTGTCTAATCTGTTTTTCATGGGTCAGCCCCTCTCTATTAAATGGATTTTTAGCTGCTGTTCAATGGAGTATGAGCTTAGTATCCACTATATCCTCTATGAGGGAATTGTAGCCTGCCTTTTCAAGAGGATGGGCTCAACAATTTGTGCTTTTTTATCTCTAACTGTGATGATTCTGCTTAAAAGCAGATGACTGACTTTCCATTCTGTAGCTTCTACTATGTGGAGGAAAATCCACTGTAATTAAATCTTATAAAATCCTCTAATTCCCAATATAAACATTTCTCTGACACAGGCGATTCCCCTGAGTCTACCTCATAGCCCAAGGAAAACAAAGAGCTGGAGTGGTTTCTTACTTCCTCTTAAATATTTGATCATTTTGGACAAACTTCTGCCCTGATAACAGTATCTTCAAGCCTTACTCAAATTAATTATTTTTGAGACAGAATTTAGATTACTGATTTTTTCTCACTTGTAATGTTACTTTGAATAATGACTAAACTACCATGTAATTTAAGCTGTGTAAACAACGAGACAATAGTTGTTTGAATTGTTCTATGGATGTAACATTATATTTCTCATTTTGTGTTAGAAACAAAAGCACATAAATCCTGCTTGACAGGATTTGAGATTGAAACTGTATTGGCAAAAAGAAGAGCTATATGCCTCATTAAGCAGATTTCCAAAACTGAAGCATCCTCTTAGCTTACAAGTATGAATTATAGCAATATTACTAATAATTTGCAGTGATACTATACTAATTCCAAGGACACTGCAACTTTTTGTGCCCATTTAGGGTTTGGGATAATTAAGTATGTAGACAAAAACTCTTATCCAACAGTACATTATGAACCAGAGAGAGCTCTGGGTATTTACCTAGTCCTCTACATACTTGCAGGATTTTGCTACCTTTCTTGTACATTAGAGCTTTGAAACAACCCCACCAGAGAGCATTGTGCCATTTCTGCATAGTATTCTTTACCTTTCCTTGCATATTTAAGGACCTGTTTTATTCAGTCTTTTTTTTTTTCTGTGATAAAACAAACCTCAAGTGGGGGTTGTGATTCTATTGGAATTCCCAAAGATTTTGCTGTAATTGTCCTGGGTGCACCAACAGCCCTTAGTTGCCCTGACCAGCCTCATCTGAGACCTTCACCCCACTTATGGCTGAGAAATCCCATTTAAGCTCAGACTTGGGCCTGGGGTCCTTGTCTAAGCAATGTTGTAGGGAGGGGTGCTGACCTGCACTCTTGTCTCCTGGGTGAACCTGAGATCTGTGCTGGAACTAGCTTGTCTCCTAGATGGACTTTGGACCCAGACTGTAGCTTGGGTCCAGTCCAAGCTGTGATTCATAGAACCATAGAATTGTTAAGGTTGGAAAAATCCTCTATGATCATCAAGTCCAACTGTGAACCCAGCACCACCACCATGTTAACCATTAAACCATGTCCTCAGGTGCCATATCCACATGGTCTGTGATCATTTCCAGGGACGGTGACTCCTCCACTTCCCTGGGCAGCCTGTTTCAGTGCTTGACAACACTTACAGTGAAGTTTTTCCTAATATCTAATCTAAACGTCCCTTGGCGCTTGTTACCTCTTGTCCTGTCACTTGTTACCTGGGAGAAGAGACTGGCCCCCGCCTCTCTAAAACCTCCTTTCAGGTAGCTGTAGAGAGCCTCCTTTTCTCCAGGCTGAACACACCCAGCTCCCTCAGCCATTTCTCATAAGACTTGTGCTCCAGACTTCACCAGTTTTGTTGCCCTTCTCTGGACACCCTCCAGCACCTCAATGTCCTTCTTCTAGTGAGGGGCCCAGAACTGAACACAGGATTTGAGGTGAGGCCTCAACAGTGCCGAGTACAGGGGGATGGTCACTTCCCTAGTCCTGCTGGACACACTATTTCTTGTTCATTGGCCTTCTTGCCCAC